GGGCACCGGGAGGGGAAAGGAGGGCACCGGGCGGCGCCAAGCAGCACCGGGCGGGTACCAAGCAGCACCGGGCGGGCACCGGGAGGGGAAAGGAGGGGGCACCGGGTGGCGCCAAGCAGCACCGGGCGGCACCGAACAGCACCGGGAGGGCACCGGGAAGGGAAAGGAGGGCACCGGGCGGGCACCGAACAGCATCAGGAAGCACCGGGCAGCCCCGGGCGGGCACCGGGAGGGGAAAGGAGGGCACCGGGTGGCGCCAAGCAGCACCGGGCGGGCACCGGGAGGGGAAAGGCGGACACCGGGAGGGGCCGGCCCTCACATAGTAGAGGAGGTCGGTCCACCCTTCCATGGTGATGCACTGGAAGACGGTGAGCACGGCGAAGAGGATGTTGTCGAACTGCGTGATGCCGTAGTTGGGCCCCTCCCAGTACTTCTTGCACTTGGTGCCGTTGGGGCAGATCCGCGCCGGCTCGTCCGTCCCGCACGGGACCTCCACCTTGATCTCGTCTGGGGACGGCGGCGTTGTGCTCTGACCCCCGCGGTGTCCCCGGACACCCCCGGCGTCCCCAGGACCCCCCCCACGGTGTGACAGAAATAACCGGGGCCAATTAACGGCCAATTAACGGCTTCATCAAGGGACAGCGGCAATTAGGACGTTCCAAATCCAGCGCCCGGGGAGATTTTTTTTTTTTTTGGGGGAGGGGGTGGGCCAGGGAGGAAACTGAGGCAGGAAGGAATGGGGGGGAGGGAGATTGGGGAAATTTGGGGGAAACTGGGGAAGTTTGGGGAAACTTAGGGGAATTTGAGGGGGGATTCGGGGGGAGCCAAGGGGGCTTAGAGGGGATTTGGGGGGATTTTGGAAGGTTTTGGGGGGTTTGGAGGGGATTGGGAGGGTTGGAGAGGGATTTGGGGGAGTTCTGGGGAGGTTTAGGGGGGTATGGGGAGATTGGGGGTTTGGGGGGGTTGGAGGGGATCCGGGGGGTTTGAGGAGGTTTAGGGGGGTTAGAGGGGATTTGGGGGGTTCTGGGGACACCTGCGGGCGTGGCGCCCCACCTGTGACCAGGTCGAAGCAGGTGGTGTGGAATTTGCCCATATAAAACTCTAATCCTATGATGGCGAAGATGAGGATCGCGAAGAAGAGCAGGAGCCCGATCTGCAGCAGCGGGATCATCGCCTTCATGATGGACTTCAGCACGACTTGTAAACCTGCGGCAGCGGCAACTGAGCGGCCACGAGCCCCGGGACCGCCCCGGGAGCCCCCCTGGGACCCCCAAACTCCCCCTGGGACCCCCAAACCCCCCCTGGGACCCCCAAACCCCCCAGCACTCACTTGGGATCCCCGAGACCAGCTTGAGGGGCCGGAGCACGCGCACGGCCCGCAGCGTCCGCAGGTCGAACTGGGAGCCCACCGAGGCCAGGATGCTGCGGGGACAGCGGGGTCAGCGGCCCTGGGGACCCCCAGCTGGGCCACCGTGGCTACCGAGAGCGGCCACGGCCACTGACACATCCCAGTGGGGCCAGGGACCCCCAGGAGACACCAAGTCCAAGGGCCACCACTGGCCCCATGGCTACCAAGAGCCACCGCATCTTCCGTGAGCCACCACGAGCCCGTGGCCACCCAGTCACAGCTGTCACAAGTCCTGTGTACCCGGCACGCAGCCACCGGCCCCTGGCCACCGCGAGCCCCAAATCTTTGCCACGCGGCCACCAGCCCCGGCCACCACGAGCCCCCCGTGTCCCCGTCACACGGCCACCAGCCCCGGCCACCACGAGCCCCCCGTGTCCCCGTCACACGGCCACCAGCCCCGGCCACCACGAGCCCCCCGTGTCCCTGTCACACGGCC